GCTGCTCTGCAGCGCCGCGGCCATGCGCGCGCTCGGCCCCTCCCCCTCCCCCTCCCAGGGGTAGAACACCTCCCTCGGTTACTGCCCAATCAGCGAGCGCGCTGGGGCCACGCCCCGCCCCCCGTCCTATCGCCGCCAGCACCCCGCCCCCTCCCCGCCCTATCGCGGGGCCGGTCACAGCTGAGGCGCCCTCTAAGCTGCTCCAGAGTTGGCTGCTGCAGAGGCTCCACCCCTCCCCGAGCTTTGCCTCCTGGCCGCAGGGGGCGGGGCCTGCAGGGGCGGGTGGCCCGTGGGCCGGGCAGCGGGCGGTGACTGAGCAGTTGTCCCGTGAGCTTGCCCCTGCTCTGGCGCTGCGTCCGGCTCTTGTGCGCCCCGCGTGACCAGCGCAGACCCCGCGTGGGGCCTGGGGTGGGAGGTGCTTCCCTGCCCCCGGACATCTGCCCTTGGCCACCCTGCCTCAGTCTTGGCCTTGCTGCTGCTGGCCCGGCAGGTGGCTGATGCCCTGTTGGGGGGCTGGGGTGGAAGCAGAGTAGACGCAGGGTCACAGACCAGGGGGACTCAACCTTTTTCCTGCAGGGGATGAATGGGTCCAGCCCGGCCAAGCCTGCAGGCTGCCTCTGGGCCACCGTCCCAATCTGATACCTGGACCAGGCACTGTGGGCTCCATCCAGCCTGGGGAGGAGCACAGACAGCAACCTGGCCCTCGAGGGGTATAAAGGGGCATGACCCACCCCATGCAGCTGCAGGGTTGGAGTTAGGGATGTGGCAGGGGTGAGGGTAGCTGTATTAAATCACCACTCCCCCACCACCAAATTTCCAGACCTGTGGGGAACCATGGGGCCAGATGTCATGGCTCCACAGGCTGCATTTTGTCCATGGTCCAGAGGCCAAGCACCCCTGCTGTAACCATTTCACTAAAATGTCTGGTTATTCAAAAAAAATCCCTATTACGTTTTTGCAATAGTAATATCAAACCAGCCAATGAAAGTATTCGCTGTGAATACTTTTGTGTGTAATTCACAACCACTTTAAAAGGCTGCATAAAGAAAATCTGTTAAATAATGCTGCTTCTAGCCCAACAACTAATAGCATAATATAATGTACGCATAGTACAATCACTGACCTAATGAAAACTACAGCATGAGAGCACCCGACCAGCTTTCAAGCTTAACTTTCATGCAAGGATGTACTTTAGCTTCAGGTTTCTTCTAGTGACTTTGGAAACCAGTTGTGATTGTATTTACAGCGTCAGTCATTCGTTCAGCAAGGGACAGGTAGAAAGCTGAACAATTTGCTGGGTTTCACTTGAGCCTCATTAGGCCCTTTTCCTCCCTACTAGCATGAATGAATTTTTCAGACCCTTCAGGCAGGTCTCATGGAAACTCACAGTGAACTCAAATTCTTTGTTGTTTCTGTATTGTGAATTAAAACCAGTAAAGACAATGCTGCAAATTAGTGGACAGAATGAGATCCTACCTTGAGGAGGGGATAGAATTAGGTAAGTTCTTGAGGTCTATTCCAGCCCTATCTTTCTATGATTCTGTGAAATGGGTGCGTATATAGACTTTGCAGTCTTGTGATTAGGCTGAAGAGTTGGACAGACCAAGAAGGTACACTTCCAGAGACTGGTAAATTTTAAAGGTGTGTAGAACTTTGTTTTTCCAGTATTCTCCTAATTTAAATTATCACAAGATCTTTAATTGTGATGATATCAAAGTATTTAGATACCAAGATTTTTCATAGTAAATAAGCAGTTCTGTTTCACTTAAAGGGTAATCTCAAGACAGGCACCACATCTGTACCTTTTATGTATTAAGCCACAGGCCCTGAAGATTCCCCCCATATAAACAACAACTTAATTAAAACAGCATATCAGAGACCACTGCTAGGAGGAAGATAATGATCAACTCAGTTTATACCTGCTGTCGTGTTGATTAAAAGATGTAAAACAAAGTGTGGGTAATGAATGCATGATTTCTCATGTTCACACTATTGTCATCTAGTGAGCAGTTCTGACAGCAAGAAGAGAGAAAGGAGAAGAGGGCCAAACAGCTCTAATTATGCCTGTCCTGTAGTAACTGTATAGGATGCTCCTTTTATTCTGATTCTGCCTGTTTAGGTGGCTAGTGTGGTAAGTTTCCACAATCAAAAAAAGTTTCTAAATTTGCAACAGGTAGGGAACACTTTGAAATACCGTTGTGCTTCTTGAAACATTTTAATTCCATCCACTTTTGCAAGAATAGCTAGTCATAGCACTTGCAGCCAGTAGATGGCAGTGAATTATTATTAGCAGTAAACCTCCTAGTAGCAAGAGGAGCATCATAGAGCATCTTCATAGGAGATGCATAAACAAAAATGTTACAGGAAAAATACTACCTGTATTTTTATTTTTGTTTCCTCAATGCATTTAGTGTCAGCATGGGACTGAGAAAGTGGGGGAAATGGTATGCTTCAATTTTTACTCCCCAAATGGTGACAATCAGAAGTCTTACCTTTATGGTATTTAAACACACATATAAGCAAAAGGGAAGTGCTTACCTCAAAACCTATGAGCTGCTTCTTAGAACACAAGGACCAAAGCATCACCTGAGAGATAGGTAGCGGTCCAATGAACCTAAAAACCTGTGAAGAAAAACACACAATACACATACCTCTGGCTGTCCATGCTTCCCAATTCCCTTTCCTTTACCACTCAGGCTAACAGTAAACATAATTCAATTTAGTTGCAGCCACTGGCTCCCTGAATAGAAAGAGCTCTCATGCAAGCCCTTCCTATAACGTAGCATACTAATACCGATTTTACTTCATAGATTTCATAGACATCAGGGGCTCCAGCCCCCCCTGCTATAAGGAGGAAGGCTGCTGGGGTCAAATGATCTCAGCAAGATAAACATCCAAATGCCTTTTGAACGAGTCCAGAGTAGGTGCTTGCACCACCGGGGGGGGGGCGGGAGTCTGTTCCAGACCCTGGACACTCGGACTGTAAAGGAGTTTTTCCTTATGTCCAGTCTAAATCAGCCTTCCAGGAGCTTGTGGCCATTAGACCTTGTTATCCCTTGGGAAGCCCTGGTGAACAACTCTTCTCCCAGGTCCTTATATACTTGTAGGCTGCCACCAAGTCCCCCCAAGCCTTTTCTTCTCCAGGCTGAAGAGTCCCAAGTCCCTCAGCCTCCCCTCATAAGGCTTGTCCTCTTGGCCTTCAGTCATACAGGTGGCTCTCCTTTGGACTCTCTCAAGCTTATCCACGTCCCTCCTGAAGTGGGGGACCCAAAAGTGGATGCAGTACTCCAGTTGCAGCCTCACTAAGACTGAATAAAGCGGGAGGATGACATCCCTGTTTTGTTTGAGATGCATCGATAGATTTGGTTTGTTTTGCCAGCCACGGCATTGCACTGGTGACTCATGTTCATCTTGTGGTCAATCAGAACCCCCAAGTTTCTTCCAGTTGTGGTGCTAGTGAACATAGCACTACCAAGCCTGTAATTATGATGCTGGTTCTTTCTCCCAAGGTGGAGGAAGAACCAGCTTGTACTTGCATGGCAATTAGACAAGTTACACACCTGCCTCCCAGAGCAAAGCATACAGAGCCGAACAGCTGTTCAGCCTATTTTCCTACATCCCTTTCACATACTTAGCACAAACTGACTGTTGATGGCTTCACAGTAAAATGGGAATATACCTTATAGTGGCAATTTCATCTATATGGGCACCAGATCTATTTTGAAGTTACAGCAAAGTAATTTAGATTGGATATCAAGAAATACTTCTTCACTGTCTGAACAGTGAGGCAGTGGAATAGGCTACCTAAGGAACTTGTGGACTCTCCATCACTGAGCAGTTCAAGAAGAGGTTTGGCAAGCATTGCTTACGAATGGTTTCAGAGTAATGCCAATGCTCTACTATGGGTATTTCCCATGCTTCAGGGCTTTGCTGGTCACCACAGGTGTTGCCTGCAGCCAAGGCTGGGAAATTTAAGTGGTGTGCCAGTGCTCCTACTGACACAAATGTGACTAGAGGATCTGCCACTCCACTCAGCATCAGGCAGATCACTATATTTGGGGTCAGGAAAAAATTCTACCCCATTGTCAGACTGGTATAGACCAGAGGGGGAACAGGGTGTTTGCCTTCCTCTGTAGCAGCCCTTTCTTGAATTTCTCAAACATATTTTAACCCTCACAGCAGCAGGACGTTGGCCACCACTGCCCCCCTGCATTACCTGTGGCAACTTATAGCACCATGCCTTGTGGCTGTGTCATGGCTGACTGTGGTTTTACTAATAGGTTAGACAATGGATTTAAATAGGGTGGTTTGGATAGGGATGATCCTGCCTCTTGTGGGGGTTGGACTAGATGACTTCAGCCCTATTTTTCTATGATTCTGTATGCTTGACTGCTCCTTTTTGCAATTCAAAGCTACAGGGATGATCTCAAAAGGCAGGTGACTGTGCTCAGTACTGCACTGGATATGGTCCATTATTAGCATATCTGTAGAAGTTGTTATACAGATTGGTGGCTTTTCTCTTGAAAAGGCTTCTTTTAAAGGTGCACTTGAATAAAATCAGCCCTGAAACACCAACATCTAAAATTAAACTTTATTCCATTTTCAGAAGGAAAAAATCAAGTATGTACAAGTGTATCTTAGAATCACACAAATAACTTTGTCTCCTCTTCCTAAAGTGTGGTTCCCACTACTGCCTGGCACTTTTGGGATAACTTGTTATATTTCTCAATCAGTAGTTTCTACACGGTTTTCTTACACATACAGAACTGCAAAGAACAATTCCCAGTGGAACTCTGTGAAATGACTTCAGAATTTCTCATCAATAATTTAATTTGGCTCAGGCCACATATACATATCCAACACTGGTGAGCAAACAATACATTATAAAAGCAGAACACTTCCATTCCTTGTCAAAGGAATAGATTAATAATACACCATAAGGGACAGATGTGGGAGAATACACATCTGTTCTCTTGATTAAACAACTTCCACTGACACAGTTGTATATCAGATTACCCAGTCATCATTCATTATTTTCACAGGGTACTCATCACCTTACCCAACTGTACTCTGACTATGAAAGTGCTGTGCTGACTCAGTTCATCATTTCACTGGCACGTCATGTGGGAGTTCCACAAACAGCACTTGGTCTTGATATTTATTTTAAAATGTAAAAATAGTGTCTGCTTTCATGTAAAAGCAGTCATCCAGCACTCCTCATTTGGACAAAACTTACAACACTTTGACAGTAACGTTACCTGAGTGAGGAGAATCAGAGTTGGAGCTCTATGCTAATAGGGCAGAATAAATATCCTTTCTTCACAGGTACACATATGTTCACAGAGTACAAGGCAGTTAATTGGCTGTATGATTTGCAAATCAACTGATTGAAGAGTCTATCACAGGCCCAACCGATATTAAATTGCAATTTGAACATTAGGAGTATAAATAGCATTCCATTATTTTGTAAGGGTCCTATTGATTTAATGGTCCAATCCAAAAGGTTCAATAAATTCTGATTCTAAATTTGTGTTGCCACTAAATCCTGCACCTTTATCTTTTCATGGGGCTCAGACCTTCAAGGTGCTGCTGAGCATTCTAGTACCAAACAGAAGCACAGCACTTCAGTACGTGGAACTACTAACGTGCATGAACTTCAGCATGTGCTTAACTGGGACACAGACCAAAGTAATTTGCATTCTGGAGAACTGAGCACATAGTCCTCATTCATTAGGGGGACGCTCATTCTGCACCTCTTCTGGCTAACCAGTATTTGTTGTCATATAAAAATGACCAACCCCCAAATAATGGCCTCGCCAGAAATGGTGGTTAAAACATTTTATTTTTATGCTGCTGAACATACTGCTGTTTATTTAAACCATTTTAGATTAAAGGCACATGCTTGTTAAAAATACTTCAACTTTACGTAAGATGTACAAATGCATAAAGCAAATGCACATTTCCCTAAACCTACAATATGGCTTCATAAAGGTCGAGTTGGGGCTGGGAAAAATCAACATATATTTAAAAGCTGTACTGGATGCTGTTAACGCTGAAAGGATCGACTCAAGACCATTGAAGAAAATAACTGGAGCTCTAAAACACTGCACATTACATAAACAGTACAACACGTCAAGTATACAGTAAATACCATTTTTATGTGGATTCATAAGACTGTTAGGGGTCTGCAAATTTATTAGGCATTCAATTGCACAGGGGTTTCTGTGACCTGCCAGTTTGCAATAGTGGGAAGACGGAAAACAAATTCCCTAGCAGCAAACAGCTTGCTTCAAGAATTTGTTTATACATTTTGTACAGAAAGTGAAAAACATACTTTACAACATAAATTTGGGTAATCATCAAATAAAAGAGCAACTTACTATTACATGCAAGTCATAGTACATGTAACTATTTTTGGGTGGATTTTTTTTTTTTTTGCACATAGGAAAAAAACAGAGAACATTAAATATGCAATAATGCTCCAAAACAATCATTTAGTCCCACCCACATTTAAGGCTCATTTGTCTGCAATTTACCTTAGACATTTATTCTTGTGTGTAAAATTTCCTGAGCACAGATACATTTGCAGATATTTTAAAGCAAAACATTAAATATATTCAACTATATCAGCTAGAAAGATCTCAGAAAAAATGCAAACTTTTGGTATGTCACTAAAGCCTGGAGGAGGAGCTTAAGCTTTTTTCTTTCTTCTTTAAAAACGTACACAAAAAATGTAATAAAATTATTCAAACAGGACTGCTTAATAGTAAACAATTTATTAAATCTTTACCAAAAAAAAAGGAATCAGAATTCACACGGTCCCTATTATATGTTAAAAATAATTTGCTAATTATGTTTCTGAGCTCATTAAAGATCATTGCTCATTTCTCAAACAGTAATAAATGGAAAGCTAAAGAGCCAGGGACATGATTCCACAGTGCCCTGCATCACCATTGTGCCAAAATGGATCCAAAATGCTGCCATCCTGAATTGGTAACATTTTACATTCACTGCACACGTATAAGGCCCCAATTAAAAAAAAACCACTTCCTTATATTTGAATACTTTGCAGAATCATGAGGGACTTAAGCATATACTTAAAAGGTAAGCATGCACTTAAGTCATCTGTTAAATAAAGATCTAAAAAACTATGCAAGGTGGAAGGCAGAGGAGTACCAGGCCCTACAAACAGACCAGCTTCTAGCGAAGTCAATACCATCAGTCCCTCAGTTTCTTTTAGGATAGAAGAGAAAAAGCCTTTAAAAAGCTTTTACAAATAGACACTGTACAGAAGGTGCATGCAGAATAAACTGGGGCAAATAAGAAATTGTGCAAAGATATGTCCCACAGAGCTTTGTAAATTGATCCTATTAATATCAGATGCACCATTTGTTAATTTTATTAAATGTACTGAAAATCAGAATCCACCTCTTCTTGGCTCTGCCTCCATTCCTTCATATGCCATCTCCACCCAATCAACCAGGCAAATGATAATGGATATAGAATTTAATCATCTTGCAGTTGCATAGCAGCCCCAGCAGTAGATGGGACTTTTTCATACGGTATAGTAGATTCTAATTGTATTGATATAACAGTTATGATTACTATGGCATTGGACTGGTAACAGTTGTTTGCAGAGGACACTTACAAATCAAGGCCAGTTTCATCTGAAGAGTATAGAAGGCATTCTAAAATAGGATGACTATAGGATTAAAAGAAAGAGTTGTACTGAAAAGTTTTTAAAGTAACAGTAGTTTGAAATACCCATAATTCGATATACAAATAGCAAGTAACCCTGAAACCCCACAGCTATTTTAAAAAATTAAATTGGGTTTTCCCTTTTTTATTAAATAGATTGAAATACCTATCCCCTAAATAATTATACTGACAAATAAAATATCTACATATATCCAAAAAAAAAGTGGGCAAGTATTAGGTCTCAGTCTTAGACTTACTGTCCAAATAAAGAAAGGTTTGAGAAGCAAAAAGTTATACAGCAGTGCTAGTCTCAAAATTTTACAATACTAAATTTGGTGCCAATGAGATTTGACTAATAGGAGTTATATTACCTAATCCAAAGGGACAGAGTGCCCTGTAAACACTGGAAGTTAACCATTAGCTTCCAACAACATTGTGGCCATACCTTTTCCAGATAGAAGAAAAAATTGGATTGATGTCTGTAACAAGGGATATAATTCTAAAGGCAACATTTTGTTCTTCAATAAGGCTCATAAGGGAACTTAGCAGTGTACATACGTATGACAGCCTGTACCATTCTGATATTTTTGGAAAGCTCTGAAGTTTTAAAAAAACCTACATGCTTTAAGTATAAAAATCTTTCAGTAAGACAATGGCCTTCTAAATCATTTTATAGGTGCTTGGCACCAGGAACGATCACTTGGTATTATTATACTGAAAAACACTCAGACAGTTGTCCCTGCACTTTTGAGCAGAAACACATGATTAAGATATTTTATGTTGCTCTGTTCCTCTGAAAAAAACCCACCTCATGAATGCACAATCTTTATGGTGTCTGTACTAGTTCATAAATATATATATTATATATACGTATATAATATGGAATATGAATGTGAGATATATATATATAGATAGATAGATCTCTCTCTCTCTCTCTTTATATATATATATATGCACACAATTCATTCACCTCCAACTGGCATCATGTGATTTCATATAACACACTTACTAGGAAGCAAACTTATTCATTAGGTCACAGCTGGTATAGCTTTTAATATCAATCCATTTATTACAGAGCAATTCGGCATCAAATGGCCTTTGATTAGAATTCCCTCCTTTTCAGTCCAGTTTCATATGTTGCCTTTAGCATCCTTTTCTGCCACTCTTCAAGTAGTATTTCACATGGGTGTTCAATGCCAAGGTCTAATTTCTGTCAACCTCTGAAGACAGTTCTGTGCTGTTGGCATTGAAAGGATAAACTGCACTGTCTGTTGTCCTATCCGGTAGCAGCCATATCCCATCAGTCCGAAAACTGTTGCCTTTATGACAAATCTGAGAACTTTACTCGAAGCTGATGGAGGAGGCACACTGAAGTAAAAGAAAACAAAATTAGCATTTCATGTCACTGAAAGAGAAGGGCATTTCACTTTTAGATTAAACTGATCATTTCTGCCACTGTCATTATAGCACTTGCTTACTCATGAGGGAAAACTTTTATGGAACAGATAAATTCAGAACAAGCAAATGGTCCATTCAAGTTGTTCTTTCAATATCTTACTGCAAATGTAGGGGTAAATATAGCACATGTCGAGGCACATATGGAACAAACTTTAAGGCCTGAGGAACCTGTCTTACCCTTCATACCATCAAAATCTCCGAGACTGATGTAAAGAATACTACAACAAAATATAAATAGTAGGCAGAATTTTTAATATTATTACTCATCTAGTTAAAAAGGGTAACAACCCAGAGGTGATGTGTGACATCATAAACAAGTATTTACTTAATAAAAAATTAAATAGTGCAGGGGTTTAAAGGAGTTCTGAACCTTACATGCATTAAGAAACACACTGGTACAAATAAATGTCTACAATTAACTACAACTATGGAAGTCCATAACAGACACACATTTAAACTGATTTAAACTGAGTGGGACCTGCCTATATTAAGTATGTGCACTGGCATAAACCAAATTGGTTAGAAATTGATTTAGTGACAATGGCACCATTTTTTTCATATGGACAAACTCTTGCACACTGAGAAATTAGAAGCCAGGCTAACTCAGGAGTGTGAGCACATGTTGTTCAGAGCCAGGGGAAGATGCATAATATCCTTCTATTCATTACTCTACAGTAATAACCCAGAAAGGAGATAATCTAAATCACCGCTGTATGCGACTCAAAGGATATAGTAAGGTATAGTTAGCATTAGGTTCAATATATGATGATCTCAAACTCAATACACTGGAAGTACACACATTTTGATACAGAATTCTAAGAAATATTGTTTTCAGGATCACTTTGCCATTCATGAAGTATAAGAAGACATCCTAAGGCAAATTTTAAGTTTAGAAGGATTACAGTCACAGTGCGCAAGCTTTGTGATGAAGTCCCATGCTGTAATGGGGCAAGGCAAATCTTCCAAGGGGGGGTGTGTGCGTATATGTGTGCGCAGAGGGAGGTTAGTATAACTTCAGTGACAGTCTATTAGACTGCCTTAACTCTGACTTGCAAGGATCACCTCTGTATGCATGAAAATAGGCAAACCAGTTCCATACTGTTCCACTTTTTTAATAGGATCATAGGAAAGTAGTATTGGAAGGGGCCTCACAATGTCATCTAGTATGGCCCCCTGCTTGAAATAGGATCATCCTGACTAAACCAGCACAGCCAGGTGCTGGCCACTCTGAGTCAGAAAGTTCCTCCTGATCTGATCTCCAATCTAGATTTCTCTGCTGCAGCTTGAGGCCAAGGCTCCTAGTCCTATCTCCTGTGGCCACAGAGAAAAACTCACCTCCATTCTCTCAATAACTGTCCTTCAGGTACCTGAAAACTAGTAATTGGTGGAGAGACCCTGGAAGCCCTGCTGTTTGCCTCTGATTGTACGGGAGACAAAAACTGCAGCATATTTAAAACTGTGGTTTTTGCCTCCTGGCCAATCAAAAGCACGTAGTAAGTGGTGACAGCAAGGGGTGGTGAAATGCGGTGAAAAGAACAAGATTAAAGGAGCTGCTGCCCAGCATGCTTCCAGCATGATTTAGGTAGATCCCTACCCATAAGAACTGCCTTCCAGGTCCCCAATCATTTTTATTGCTTCAAAATGGACTCATTCCAAACTACCCACATCCTTCTTGAAGTGTGGGGCCCCAGACTGGACACAGCACACCAGGTGAGGCCTCACCAGTGTTGAACAGAGTAGAAGAATCAGTGACACTCCTGTTAATACAACCTAATATGCTGTTGGGTTCTATTGCAACACAAGCATAATGTTGGCTCATATTTGCTTATGGTCTTTTGTAACCCCAGGTCCTTCTCTGCAGTACTTCAGCTTAGCTGGTCATTCTCCAGTTTGTATTTGTGCTATCATTCTGTCCCAAGTGCACAACTTCACACTTCTCCTTGTTGAATCTCATCTGATTGTTTGCAGACCATTTCTTCAGCCTATTTAGGTAGTTTTGGATCCTAGTCCTATACTTTGAAGTATCTATGACTCCACCCAACTTAGTGTTGTCTGCACATTTGCTAAGCAGGCAATCAATTCTATCATACAAATCATTCACAAAGATATTAATACTACCATGCTCAGGACAGACCCCTGGGGAACCCTGGTTGAGACCTGCTCCCAACTAAACATCCAAATCATTGATAACTACTTGTGGAACATGGTGATGCAACTAGTTTTTTATTCACCTTATAGTACTTTCATTTAGTCTGTATTTCCTTAGCTTGTTAATGAGAATGTTGAGAGAAAGTGTCAAAAGCTTTGCTGAAGTCAAGGTACATCACCCCCACTGCTCTCCCAACATCCACAGAGCCTGTCACCTTATCACAGAAAGACATCAGTTGGTCAGGCATGACTTGCTCTTGGTGAATCCAGGCTGGCTGTTCTTGATCACCTTCTCCTCCTCTCGGTGCCTCACAATGGATTCCTTGAGCATCAGCTCCAGAATCTTTCCAGATACGGAGGTCAGGCTCACTTGTCTGCAACTCCCTGGATCCCCCTTCTTCCCTTACTTAAAGACAGGCACTATATATTTGCCCTTTTTCAGTCATCCAGGACTGCACCTAATTTCCATGAGTTCTTAAAAAGGATAGGCAATGAATGGCTATGAAATTACTTAAGTCAGTTCCTTCAGTACCCTAGCATGCATCCTATCTGGCCCTGCCAACTTGAAAGCATCTAGCTTCTCTAAGTAATCTCTAACCGCGGGTGGGCAAAATATGACCTGCCAGGCCATTCTATCCAGCCCGCAGGGCCCCTAAAAATTTTAGAAAATATTTATCTGCTCCTGGTTGCCTGTCAAAGATGACAGGATCCAGGAGCAGTAGGACCCAGGGGAAACCGTCAGCAGGAGCAGCAGCCCAGCCCCGCCCCATCCTCTGCCATTTCCTTGCATTCCTGTCCATGCGCTGCTCCCACACCATGCGGCTTCTGGCTGCATTGCCAGACTGGGGAGCACAGGGCCAAGACAGTACTCCGGGTTGGGGGTGTGCACCTGGATGTGTTTTCATAAGGAAGGAGTGCGTGTGGGTGGGTGGGTGTGTGTGTGTTTGTAGACAGGGAGTGCATGCGCATGGGTTTGTAGGGCAAGTCCTACACCCCCCCCCC